ATCCAGGAATTTGAAAGGGGGGGGGGGCAAGTCTTAACATTCATAATTGCATATAATTTCTATTTATTTTTATAATATTTAAACTTTATTATTTCCTTTACATTGGTTAAATGAGTGTTATAACATGCCACTTTATTGACGTCATTCAGCTAACGCGAATCGCGACTACGCTGAACTTAGAAGTTTGGAAATCGTGAATAAGATTTGAGTGAACTAGATGTAAGTTGGATCTAAAGAACATAAAACTACGAAAATTTACATAGCGAAATTATGAATTGGAGGGAAAAACAGGTGAAAATAAAATTAAAGCCAAAGGGGGGCATGCCCCCTGGCGACGTCATTGTGAACAACTGTACATTATATACATGCTAAAAAGTAAATGGAAAGAGAGGCTACACAGCTGAAACGTCGTGTATTTCACTCTCATTCTTTTTGCTTTTCAGTGTCGAATTAACCTGTCATATACAGAAATACTTTTGTATTTGAACGATTGCGAATAAACTTGTAAGTCATATCATTCCAGGTATAGATTTTTTTTTCTGGGTAGTGGCTGATGGCTGTCTCAAAACACTGCACCTCGCTGTTTACTGGCAATAATTTGACATCTGTAAATTACGAAATAAAGTAGTTGCTCTTCAAACTACTGCTTGTTTTGCCTTATTTTGTAAGTGTAACCGAATGACGCTGATCAGTACTTAATCTGAACATGTTGGTTTAATTGATTTTTTATTTCTTCCACTTACATAATTAAACCTCTACTGTATGTATGTATTGTCTTATCTTTGCGAGTTTAATATCTTTGCCACTAGCTAAAAAGGAGGTTTGATTAATTTAGCATAAAATAGCCGTTTACACAACACAAGTGCAACGTTTAAAATTTTATTTTCATTAGAAACATTTAAAAAACCGGCAGTAATACCCTTCTTTTGATTAGGACACAGAAATGTATTCGATGTGGTAAATTGGAAATCCTAACTATCATATTATAATAATTATAAACCAATGATACAGGAATGTAGTCCGTGGTCGTGGTACATTATATACAAAAAGCAACGTGACTCTTCACTGGATGGCTGAGATATCATGAGATTTATTTGTTACACATTTGTCAGATTGTTAATTTCAAATTGTGTACATTTACTTGTTTGACGAAAACGACGATAAGTGGGTGTTACATATCGGCAAAAAAAAACAAAAAAACAAACGATCTCACGTTTATTTGAGTATTGGATCAGAAGTAAACACATAGAAGAAGTAGTTAAATGATGGTGGTGATGATGAAGTAAAATAAATTGATATTTCTGTATCCGAACCAAGCACTACCTCAGTTTCCGTTTCTACTGCTTTTGTCGGCAAAATGTACCGAAAAGGATAAAATGCGTAAGTGCCAGAAGAATATTTAAAATGTGGTTTCACTAACAGAGTTGTTAATAATGAGGAACAATCACAGTGCGTTATTTGTTCGCAGATTTTAGCTAATGACAGCACGAAGCCTTTTAAACTTACAAAGCATTTGGAAATCAAACACCCTGAGCACGTGAGTAAAAACAATCGAGTTCGTCAACAGTGAAACAATTGAAAGGGTAAAGCTGGTCTCTGTTTCATCAAAAGCCTTGAAAGCTTACTTAGAAGCATCTTATTTGATTGGGAAATCATGAAGCCACACAATATTGGAGAAATACATTAGTTCTTTCTGTTGCCATATAGATGTGTGAAATCATGCACGGAGAGAGGTAATGAGGAGACCATCAAATCTATTTCTTTGTCACGTTCACACTGTCGTAAGGCCTATAGATGTAATCTCCATTGATATAAAAATGCAATTGATAAAGGGCATCAAGAACAGTCCGAAATTCACCATACAACTTGATGAAACCAAGTTTACTTTAACTTCTGGTGCTTGTTGCCAATTACTGGAAGGGAAAGCTTTAGGGGAAGTCATCTTCTCTCTTTTTGATGGGTTTTTCCACCACAAACAATCTTTCTTGGATTAATTGTGTTGGAGCATGCACTGACGGGGTAGCTACATTTGTGGGAAACAAGCAAGGGTGCAGAGCCAAAGTAAGTGGTCTTGCTCTAGGTGTAACATTTAAACAATGCACATTGTAACAGGTAAACACTAGCTTCAAAGAAAGTACAGCCTGAAGCCAACAAATTTCTAGAAGATGCTGTGAGTGCTTTGAACAGCAGGCTGTTTTCTATTCTTTGTGGACAAGCTCCTGCTGCTTACAGAGGTGCACTGGTTGTCTTGTGGAAATATACTCAGTCGCATTATGCAGCTGAAAGACAAATGTCGTATATTCTTGTTAGACAGCAACCCCATACTACCAGCATATTTTATGAATCTCGGTAAAATCCTTTGTAGCACCGAATACTTGCTGGATGATGTAGAGCAGCAGATCTCAAGTTGTGGTCAGTGGGCTCCCTTTAGGTGGTCCATGGAAAGGTGACATAATTACAGAAAGGAAACATAGTGTATAGATTCCATTATGATCTGCCAAGAGAAATAAATAAAGTTAGGTGATTTGCAAACAAACAAAATTTGATAACTACTGTTCGAGAGGATGTATTAGCAAACTGCTGAAACTACATTGTGTTTTGTGTGCAATTATGAAATAGCTTTTTTTTAACACTAGATATCGGTGATCACGTAACATATAACTTGCTCCAACTACACTTGTTCTTTTAAAATTATTCCTGAAATATGGATTTTATTTTCACAGATCTCTATGGAAACCTCAAATCTGAAGCTGGCTCCATTTCTCTGATACTCTTTTAATTGATGATATAATTATACCATATTTTGAGGAAAGCTTGCTCATTGAATGGTATGCTCAAGCAAAGATAAAAATAGGAATATTTCCTTAATATGTGTGCATTATTTCACTAAATGTATTGTGGTATAATTTTTCTTTTAATTTATAAAAATAGGTTATTGTGGAAACATCTAAGGAAACATATTTTCTGATTATAAGGTGTAACTCATTGGTTTAGTTAGTTATTTGCAAACAGTAAGTGTCATTTTGTTAACCTGTGTTAATTTAATTCTTTCTTATCTTTATATTAGCAGTTGGATAATCCACTGTGGTTATTTTTAAACAGTAAATCATCCCCAAGAAAGTTCAATTGTTCAACTTAATATAAATATTGTAAAAAAAGATATTTCACTCATAACAGTATGAACACACACAAAAATCACTACGATGAATGTATCCTCAAAAAGCTGTGAAAGAAGTGAAAACACAAGATTTTAGTTTACGACTTTTACACCCTTCATAAATAAAGATAAATCATTTTTTACTATTGAAGAAAAACTTTCTCTGAAGTGGTTCATTCATGTGATATGCTTTACAACATTTTCAACATAGATAAATGAAAGAAATGGTAGTTGTTAACTATAGCTTTGTTTTGTAAGTGTTAGAATAAGGCTGGTTTACAAAGGGAACTTAATCATGATAGCTGTTAAAAACAAAAATTGATTGAGGGATTGGTTAACTCATACTCATGTGGGTCAATACAGTTGAACTTGATCTGTTACAGTGGTATTTAATTACTGGTCATACATTTGAGTTAAATAGAGAATAAATTAAACCTTTATGACACAAATTTGGTTTGACAAGTAACCTGCATAATGTTGTTTATACAAATTATCAGTATGAAAATACCATTTGCTATTGCATAGTATGTATGTGTTATTGGTTAGATCCTTTGGTTGAGTGTGGGGACGTTCTGACTATTATATTTGAGGAATGAGTTGTATGAAGATTAAACTGTAATCTTTTTGTTGGAAAGGAATAGTTAGAGGTGACCTGAGGCTTTTGAGTTCAAGTTCTGGCCAATGCATATTACTTATAATACTAAGTTGTTATAGCCATGTGCATATTAATTGTCAAGGTTTCCAACATGTCATTTTGAGATGATACCGGCACTTGTAAGTTATGTTTTCTTCCTAATAATAATGATGCATGACAAGCTAAATTATATCTGTCTTGTCTGCATAGCAGACAGATTATGTGGATTCTAGAATATGTAAGAACACCTTTTTGCAGAAGAGCATCTATTATACTATTGAGTAAATACTAATTATTTCAAATATGATTAGGTTCCAATAACAGTTGACAAACCTTCTACTTGGGAGGATGCCAATGTTTTGTCAGATTTGCAAAGATTTCCAGAAGCAGTGCGATTATTGTTACAAGGAAGTTTTGAGGAACCTCTGCCACCGTGTCCTGTTAAACAGATCTCTCTTTACATCAGTGCTGTTTATTGGGGTGAGGTTGTCTTTATGTTATTGTTATTTTATCTCTTAAATTAGTTTGTCACATTTTATTTGACAGTTGTTGTCCTTGAATTGCCTTTTTCCTTCCTTCTTTTTATTTGTTTGAACTATATGTAAATAAATTACATCTCAAAATATAGTAGTCTAGATTATTGTTTTTGTATTGTTTTAAGCTTAAAAAAGGTGGTATTTTAGATCATTAAGGGTAACATAATTCCAGGTTTTGGGTTTGGTTAATTATTAAGTGTTAATTTAAATTTTACTATCTTCTTTAATTTATAGATACTCAAGTAGAAAGGTCTTTCTTCATGGAACATGTCTATCCTGATTTGAGGTTACAATGTGCTGAAAATGGATATGAGCTCAATGTTATAGACTTACACTGGGGTCTTGCTGGTGATTGTTTAGATGACCAGAGTTTCAAAGATGTCTGTCTTGATACTATCAAGGATATAAAAGGAAGAGGACACTTAATTGCAGTGGTAAAGTGTACATAAACAAATGTTTGGTATAAATAAGATCCACTGATTTTCAGGCTTTCTTCCTTTACTGGTATTATCTATCTAACATTGGCAGAACATAAGTCAAGGATAATGTTTACAAAATTCCTGTATGTGACAAGGTAATGGATAACATATCATTATTTTTTCCTAAAGTAAGTAGTAAAACACATTTATAGATGATGTTACATAGCATTTTCTTATGTTATTAACTTAAAGATGACTGAAAAACAATTGACTGATTCTTTATGAACATTCAGTAGTGATAACTACTTTTTAATTATTGTTTTACAAACCAGGTTTATTTAGGCAATGTTTTGATAAAAGCAATTTAAATTGAAAGGAGAAATCTCCAAAAATAAATCTTAAGAGTCACTGATTGCCAAGTCATTCATGCTTTTGTAATTTCATGTTATAGTTACACAGTACATTTATAAAAGAGATTAACAAAAAAAGTGGAATTTAGATGTTTCAAGTATGCAGTGCATTAAAAGATCATTATTTGAAACATAATATATGCAGGTTCATAAATTTGAATTAATAAATATGATTATTGTGGTAGCATAATTAAGCATATTTTTCAAGTTCGACATTGCATGATTCAATGATTTTTATTAACAGCATTCAAGCAACTAGTTGTTAGTACTGTTGCGTCAGCGAGGTCACGTGACTAGTGTCACGTCCCTTGCTTTCTGGAAATATCTTGTACCTTC